TAAGCTGTGCACAATTCTTTATCCTGGAGCTCTGATGATGATCCTCTTCCCTCTCTGCTCCCTCTGTTCTCTCTGCTGCAGTTTCTCTTCCTTGCACTCATGTTGTCACCTTGTGCACCTTCCCATGCCACACTCTGCCAGCTCTCCCTCACCCCCTGCTTCTTCCTTAGGCAGCCCCAACAAAGATGTGTCCTGGGCCGAGCTCTGCCCTGATGTGTTGATTCCATCTCTCCTGCAGGGAACGTGGTTCTGGATCCAGACACAGCCCACTGTGAGCTTGTCCTGTCTGCCAATGACAAAAGTGTGACACGAGCTGACACACGACAGCACATCCACTACAATGACAAGAGATTTAACGTGCGCCACTGTGTTCTGGGCCGTGAGGCCTTCACCTCAGGGAGACACTACTGGGAGGTGGAGGTGGAAAATGCAGGAAGATGGGCTGTGGGGATTTTTAGCAAAGATGCGAAAAGGAAGGGTTATATTGAGTTTAAACCAGAAAAAGGCATCTGGGCAGTGGGGAAACACACAGTCATGAAAGCTTTCACCTCCCCTAGTCCCACTGAATTGTTTGTAATGAAGGCTCCCAGGCGGATCCGGGTCTCTCTGGATTATGAAATGGGACTGGTGGCATTTTACAGTGTTGATGAGGGGATTCCCATCTTCACATTTCCACGGGTATCATTTGGGGGGGAAGACATCTACCCTTGGTTCTGGGTGGGTCCTGGGACATGTCTGAAAATATGGCCCTGATGAAGAGGAGGCAGTAAGAGAAGGGTCTCCTAGGGTGGAGATCTCGTTACCTCTCTGCACCTCTCTTCCATGCTGCATCTCTCCAAGATCTTTCTCTGAGGCCAGACATGCTGTTCTGGTCCCAGTGCAGATCAGTGGGAGAGGCCATGGCCAAGACCTTGTGTTATGAGATCACCCCACATCATTTGCAGGTGTGGGGAAAAGGGACTTTCTCTCCTGCTTCTGAGGGTGTTCCTTACACATGGAGGGTGGAACCATTGTTTCCTTGACTCAGGCTGCAGTGGGTTGGTTTCTCGGATATTTTAGGCCTTCCTTAGCAACGGGGGTCAGAAATCTAAGGAAGTATTCCATATCATTCCTTTCCATAACCCAACATATAAAAGGGCGTAGATAAGAGAGTTCGCTCTCTTCTCTTCTGGCGAGGTTTGGGAATGGTCAGTCCCTGTCTCGGTCTTCCTTCTCTGGACCTGAGGCCCACAGTGGCTGCTGTTGTCTGCCACGCGTGAGGGGACAGTGCTGGGCCGCGTCCAGCCGTCCTGCTCCTCTCATGGGAAGTGGTGAGATTTTGCCAGTTCTTTATTTTGTTAGTTACTGGGTATCCCTTTCTTGGGAATTGTACATAATATTTTTCTGTATATAACTGTATATATGTAAAAATAAACATATATTTTGCTATAATTCAGTTGGTTTTGGTTTCTCTCAGTTTCCATAATTTTTTTCCCTTTCCTTTCTTTGCTGAAAAGGGGAGGGAGGGGAAGGGCTTTTGCTGAGCATTGGAGATTTTGGTGGGAAGCCAGGTCAAACTCGCTCACAGGCTCAGTGAGCATTTGGCATGTAAATCACCCTCTCTTTGTACACTTCTCTTATTCCTATTGTTGCTCTTCCTGTTGCTTTTATGGTATCATTGCTGTTTCCAGGGAATTGTTCTTCTCTCAACCCATGGTCTTTGCCTTTCGTGCTTTCAACCAGAGGTGTGGGCAGGGGGAGTGAGCAGCATCTGCTTTGGGAGGGTCTGGGTGGGAGCACCTGATTGGGGAGCACCATTCCTAAAACACCACAGAGGCTTTCACACCAGATCCTCCATTCCATGGAGATCCAGCAGGCCTGGACCTTCCCAAGGGAAGGCTTCACCCCAACAGAACTGGTAAGGAGGGAGACTTCAGTGCAGGTGGTGGGTTTGTTGCCTAAAATCAGCTCTTGAAAGAAACCTCCAAGACCAAAGTTGTGAGTTTGAGAAGCCAGGCCTTCTTTTATTGTGGTGCAGTGAAGTGACTCCAGCACGCCGGGTGCCCTGGGAATCAGTTCCCAAAGTGCACCCAGAGGGATCCTCACCACATCTGATATGTCAGCATGACATGATTCTTCCTTTTTTGTTCCCCACATTCCTGTTCCATATTCATGACATTTCTCAACACTTCTTACCATGCATACATGTCCTATTAAGGTCTCTGAGGGGCTTCATTGGGGATCTCTGGTGGTCATCTGCGTCTGGAGCCCCCAAAGTTCTGAGTGACTGCCTTATGACCTCCTTTAAGACAATACCCCTGGTTCTACATCAACCCAGCGTCGCCTGCTCGGCTGCTTCAGCTCCTTTCTTCATGGATTCCCCACATTTCCTGGCTACTTTCTTTCAATCAAAGCACAGGAATTTTTCTCTGGGACCTTCTGCTGCAAACACTATTAGTTCTTGTTCCATCACTAAACCCCAAGATCCCGTTGCAACAAGTGCCCAGCCCCTCCTCCTGGAGAAAAGGTGTGCACAGGTTGATGATGTGTTCTGTCAGGAGCAGGGAAGAGTTCAAAGGCTGTGCAGTATTAGAGGAGCTGAGGTGGATGCAGGTGGGTGGGTTTAGAACCAGGTTTCTGGGACCGTCAGCACTGAGAATGAGGCGCCTCAGATCTGGTGACCCACAAAAGCAGGACTCTGCTTCAGTCTCCACCCTTCAGCATCACAACCAAACCCAGAATCAACACTTTAGCAGCTGTAGACACCCCTGAGCAAGGTCTGCCAGGAGAAAGTGCAGCAGCAGAACACAGCAGACCCCCTAAAAGAAAGGATGAGTGCTCCCAGTGGGGGACTGTGTTAAGGGCCACTGAGGCACTCATCTGCCAGCCCTGCAGGGAGTCACCAGAGGTCTCCCCCCTTCTGGCAGCTGAGCTCGGAGAGGTTGCTGAGAGGGTGCCACAACCTGTCAAGAGCACAGACTGCTCTCCACTGCTGCTTTTCCATGGGGCACAAATGACACCCAAGGCAGAAGCTGGGCAGATTGAAGGGAGATTACAAAGCCCTGAGGGTGCAAGTGAACAATATCAGTGTCCAAGTTATCTTTTCCTCCATCTGCCCATTAGAGGAAAGGGGACAGCCAGAAATAGATGTGGAAAGCAAATCAGCTTCTGTCTTTGTGGCTGGTGCTGTCAGGAGGGTTTGGACTTCTATGACAACAGGACACTCTTTGATGACTGTAGTCTCTTAGGGAGGTGTGGGATCCACGTGCCTAGAAGAGACCAGGGAACCTTGGGCAGCAGGATGGCCAACTTGGAGAGCTGGGCTTTAAATGGAAGGTCTCAAGGGCTCAGGATCCAAAGGGGCCTTGCTTTCCCCTTCCCATCCAGCTGGGAATAATCCAGGACAGCCAGACCAGTGATAAAGGTTCCCTCCTGGCCTCCCAAGATGAGAACAGAAGGCCAGGCACCTCAGGGGTGTGTATGGCTGTGGGGCATCCTCTTACACCCCTCCTGGGAAACCTGCCTGCTCCATTCCCCCTGAACTGCCTGCAGACCAACACACAGAGCTTGGGGAATGAGCCTGGGGCAGGATCAGAGATCTGTGTGCAGTCACGGGGCCATTAGTTCTCATGAAGCCCAGGGCTGGAATCCTGCTTATGGCCCAGCTTCCTCCATGCAGGATCCTGAGTTCCACTGTGCATGGTCACTGCAGCCAAGGCTGTCCCCAGCCTGCACACCCCAACCAGTCCTTCTGTGCTGGTTAGTACAAGGACCAGCAGCACCTCTCCTTGTGAACTCCTCCACCACCCGTGGCACAGAGTGATCTCCTCACCCTGCAGGGACCTCCTGTGCTGTCCCCCCAGCTGATATCAGGAAGGTTGAGGTCCCCCATGAGATGAGTGCCCGTGACCCTGAGGCCATTTCCAGCTTTCTGTAAAAGGCCTCAGCGACTTCCTGATCAGGTGGCTGGTAGAAAACAACCACAACAGTGTTATACATAGAATCCTTTAGGTTGGAAAAGCCCTCTAAGATCATCGAGTCCAACCAGCAACCCAGCAATGCCAAGCCCACCACTAATCATGTCCCCAAGAGACAAATCCACACAGCTTTTAAAGCCCTGCAGGGTTGGTGACTCCAGCACTGCTCTGGGCAGCTGTGCCAGGGCTGGACAACCCTTTCTGGGAGGAAGTTTTCCCTAATATCCAACCTAAACCTCTCCTGGTGCAATTTGAGGCTGCTTCCTCTTGTCCTGTCCCTTGTTCCCTGGGAGCAGAGACTGACCCCAGCCGGTTCCTCCCTCCTGTCGGGGAGTTGTGGAGAGCAAGAAGGTCCCCCCTGAACCTCCTTTCCTCCAGGCTGAGCCCCCCAGCTCCCTCAGCTGCTGCTGGTGCTCCAGACTCTTTCCCATCTCTGTTCCCTTCTCTGGACACACTCCAGCCCCTCAATGTCTTTCTTTGAGGTGGGGTCTCACAACCTGAGTCCTGCTGGCCATGTCTGGCCTCAGAGAAAGCACTTACTGCTCTCCTCCACTTGCAGGGGGCAGCTTCCCCTACAGCAAAATCATCTGGAGTTGCCCATCTGGCAGTGCTGGGCATCCCCAGGGCACAGGTGAGCTCATCCCCGGGGTTTGTGCTGCTGGCAGGTGTGGGGACAAGCACAGCCATGGACCAGCCCCGCTGGCATGACTTCCTGGGCTCCTGCAGGATGCACTGAACCCTTTTCTCCAAAGTGCCTGCAACTCCCACAGGCTACAGGGAGGTGGGGATATCCCTCAGAGACAGCCTTGGTACTGACATACATCCAGACAAATCCCACCAGAGGAACTTTATTGTGTACATTTACAAAGTGATCCCTTTTTGGTGTAATTGGTGTTCAAGAGGGAGAGAGAGAGGATGAGACACAACAACCACGAGTCGCAACTGGAGAAATTCTGATGACACAGAAAGGGTTTGTTTTTACCCTTGAGAGAGATGCAGTATTGGACCAGAGAGGTAATGAGACCTTTGCCCTTGGAGACCCTGCAACACTCAGCTGAACAAGGTCCAAAGACACTGAAGGCAGCCCTGAGGTTAACCCTGCTCTGAGCAGGTGGTTGCATCAGAAACCTCCAGAGGTTCCTTCCAACCTCAGTCTTACTGTGAGTCTGAACTCCCCAGGTCCCTTAAAAAAGCCTTGTCTTCCTCCTTCCCTTTCATCAGGGACATATTTCCAGATATGTCCCAGGACCCAGCCAGACCCAAGGGTGGACTTTTTTCCCCCCAAATGATGCCAGTGGAAATGCGAAGATGGGAATCTCCTCATCAACACTGAAAAATGACACCCGTCCCATTTCATAATCCAGAGAGACCCGGATCTGCTTGGGAACCTTGATTTTGGGAAGGGGAATGCGATCAGGGGAGGTGAGAGCTTGGAAGTGCCCTGCCCAGTTCCCCACTGCCCAGATGCCTTCCTCTGGTTTAAACTCAATATCAATCTTCCTTCTCACATCTTCTCTAGACACCCCCACAGCCCATCCTCCTGCATCCTCCACCTCCACCTCCCAGTAGTGTCTCCCCGAGGTGAAGCCCTCACGGCCCAGAACGCAGCGCCACGGGTAAAATCTCTCAGGGGTGTCGGGGATGTTCCGTCGTGTGTCAAATCGTTTCACACTTTTGCCATTGTAAGACAGGACAAGCTCACAGTGGGCTGTGTCTGGATCCAGAACCACGTTCCCTGCAGGAGAGATGGAATCAACACATCAGGGCAGAGCTCGGCCCAGGACACATCTTTGCTGGGGCTGCCTAAGGAAGAAGCAGGGGGGAGGGAGAGCTGGCAGAGTGTGGCATGGCAAGGTGCACAAGGTGACAACACCAGTGCAAGGAAGAGAAACTGCAGCAGAGAGAACAGAGGGAGCAGAGAGGGAAGAGGATCATCAGCAGAGCTCCAGGATGAAGAATTGTGCACAGCTCACCAAGGACAAGGATCCTCCAGATTTGCCTGGAAGTGGGACATGCAGCAAAGGAAAGGGAGGCTCAGCAGAAGCATGCCTGGTCCCAGCAGCATCACTTGCAGGAGGGGAACTGCCAGGAAGGGCCATTAAAGCAGGCAAGATGATTCAGCACCAGGAAACACCAAACTTAGTTACCTGCTTCTATAGGCACTGCGTGTCTTCTCCAGGCTTTAAAAAAACCCACAAAAAACACAGGTCAGAGGCAATGGAACACACTGGGGCTGGGTTAGCTCAGGGGAATGATATGCCAGTGCAGGTGCACATTTTCTGAATTGTTGTTATCTTTGTCAAAGTCATCTCACAGCGAGTTGCTTCAAAACTTCAGTGTCTGACTACATGGAAGGGCTCCACCCATTTCCTACAAATCCAATCACACTGCCTGTCCTGACTGGGACATGCATTTATGGTCAGT